ATTTCGCGTCCCTATAATAGATAATGCGACAGCCAATTTTATATTAATAGTGTACATATTCACTTTGTTTTAGGCTATATAAAATAATGGAATATGCAACACAACTTATTAATAATTTTATTATTCTAAAGAGTCAGTAAAGCGTAACACAGTACGTAACACAACTTATTAATAATTTTATTATTCTAAAGAGTCAGTAAAGCAAATAATATTCTAAATGTTTTTGTTAAATATTAACAATTTTTGTAAATGTAAACTTAGTAAATGTAAACTTAGATTATAAAATTGAAAATAAACTAAAAAATATAAGAAATTGTTTCCGTATTTCCATTAAAATGTGTACCTCTTTAATAATAATAATGAAGTTTGATTCGAAACTGGGACGTGCTCCATAATATTGAACACTAAATTTGCTTTAAGATTTTTACTAAAATCATTTTTTATAAATTTTAGTTGGTAAATATGAATTTGGACACAAAATATCTCTGTCACATCCAAGAAATCTACTGTAAATTGTGCTAGAAATGAAATTTTTCAAAAATTTATGTTTTTGAGTTCTGAAAGAAGTACTGTAAACTTTTGTAAGGCCTCAAATTAGAAGTTAACTGGTATTGTACGTTAAAAAAATAAGCAAAGATAGACAACTTGAAGACCTTACACAAAGTTGTATCAAAAGAGTTAACAATACTTTACTCTTCTATATATTTTATCCATTGCTTTGGAAGAAGTCCCTTTATCTCTTGCTATTTGAATGCTCTTTTGAGTAAATTACTTGTTCCTCACTATTAAAAAAAAAGAAAATGTCTAATAAATATTAATAATAAATTTTCCAGTTACAATCGACTTTTAATTTCAGATATTACAAGTCTTCAGCACATCTTTCTCCCCAGTCCAGAAATATAAATAATTATTGAAAAATGCAAAAAATACGTGTTTAGCATCTTTTACGGCAGGTTTCTTGTCTCCTTATCAGATAGAAATATTTGGCGTCCAGATTCATGTACAGCGGCCAAAAATCTACAAAAAATAACTTATCAGATCTTAAAGCAAACAAAGAAGTCATTCTTTGTTATTCAATTATGACTTGCTATTTTAATTATTTCTTTTCTTCATTTAAATGATTGCGAACAAAACTGACGACCCTTTTTCTTCAATAACGACGACGACGATGATGTGGTGTTGATATATTTTCCCGGAGTATGCGTACGCGCACGTGCATGTACGCGCGTTGTTCGCGTACGCGCGCACGGTCACGGATCCAATTTGAGATAAACGCGCGCCGGAAGACGCATTGTTCGCGCGGAATAGTACAAATTAACAGATCGATATCGTGCGGTCGGCGCAATTAACATTGTGTACACTGGCACGGCGGATCGGCTTTCTTGAAAATCTGACGGTTTAATTAGGCGCCGGGCCACCTTGTGGCAGATGCGGGGCCCGCGCTCGATTAATTAACAGGCAACGGCGGCGGCGGCGGCGGCGGCGGCTCCTGGTATCGTCCTGACTCATCTCTCTCGCTCACTTAAATCGACGCGGTTTGCGATAATCGCGCACGCCTGTTCGTCGGGAATCCTGTTTCCGCGTTTCTTAACCGCAACCATCGGCTCTATTATCGCATATTCACAAGAAATCCCGGACCCGAAAAACCGCCTCGCGAAAATCGTTCTCGAAGTGAGAAACCTCTTCTCACGACTCGTGCGATTCCTCGTCACTCTGCACTGAAGACAAAGCTTAGTCTGTAAGTGAATATAAACGTGTAGACAAATATAATTGAATAACTTGTGCAGGATATAAAATTTATTCATAGAAATAAACTTAAATAGAAATCATTTCATAGAAATAATTTTAAATAAACTTTACATCCCATAAATTAAGTATTAACAAATAACCTTAGCAAAACTTGATATTTGTTATCAAGGCTTGGTATCTTATTAAGTATTGGTGACTATTAACAATTTATGTAGTATCTGTCGTCAGACAATTTGTAAAATAAAATCATATTATTTAGTACACTGAGAAAAAGTACTTGAAAATTTATTTGTGGGCTATAAAGTTTATTGTTTGTGAAATAAACTTTATTTTTGTGATTAAACTTTATATCTCACAAATAAGTTTTCAAGTATTTTTTATTATCAAATTACATAACTACATCATGTGCTAAACATATGAAATGTGACCAAAGTTAGATAATTGGCAAACTGTTTAGTAATGATTGTCAAAATTATTTGATACTATTTACTAAATTATTAAATTAGTTTATATAAATTAAGAACGATCGCTGAAAGTTCAATAAAGGCAAATAAGAGTCCCATACCGCCGATGTAATGACAAGAACAATTATTTGTAAAATTGACACAAATTACAATAAAGTTCGCGAACGTTTTGGACACATTCCGAGCCATTTTCATAATATAATAATAAAAAGTTCTTTCGCAAATACTAAGAGACGTAAGAGCGATGACTGCAGCTATGACCAATCAAATTCTATTCAAGCAACGGTATTTAGCGATGCCCAGATTAATTGGTCTGTAGATCGATGCTCGATGTTCCTAAAAACCTATAACGGTGTTCCCAAAAACCTATAACGGTTATATTTGGAACAATACAACTGATAAAAAGATAAGCCATATTGTTGTCGTTTTATGAAAATCATCTCAGAAATACATTGTTTATTATAATTAAGTTCTCTATTTAAAAATTGGACGTTCTCCCAATTAAATTTGTGATTTTCAAACAGCCTATCGCAAATCACTGACAGAAACGCAGATGGGTGATATTAGATTTGATTTATATGTTCCTTTATTCGCGTGGACAGTTTTCGACTAATTGTCCAATGTATGAAAATTCGCAATCTTTACAATTGATTTTATATACAACACCACTATAGTCAGTCGACGGTAAATTGTCTTTATGGGCTTTAATAAAAATATCAAGTTTGTTCATTCCTTCGTATGTAAAATTCAAGTTAAATTTTTTTATACAGTTTTTTAACTGTTTGGAAATTTTCTCTACGTACATATAATAAAATATTTATTTCCATTAAAGTCGTCAATAATGCTTATTTCGGCTATAATATTATTTCTAAGAGATATATTCAATATAATTTAGCTAATCTAGTTTGTATTGTCTTAAAAATCAAAGATAAAGGATAATAATTATGCGCCAAAACACCAATAACCAAACTCAGATTCTTTTGATAGTAAATAGGATAGGACAATGGAAATGCTCTGTCTACGAATCCTATTATGTAGTTCTTTTTTTATAACATAATGGGTGATGAGAGTAAAAATTCAAGCATCTCGCTAAAAATGTGGGTACAAAACAATTAATCTGGGCATCGTTAATACCATTGCTTGAGTAGAATTTGATTGGTCATAGTCGCAGTCATTGCTCTCACGTCTCTGCGAAAGACTCACTCTCACGTCTCGTATTTGCGAAAGAGCTTTTTGGTATTATATTATGCACTGAAGGTGGCTCGGAATGAGTCCGAAACTTTCGCGAGATTTATTGTAATTAAATTATAAATAATTGTATAATAACGCGAATAAAGAAATATATAAACCAAATCTAACATCATCCATCTGCGTTGTCAGTAATTTCCGAATATAGGCTGTTTGAAAATCACGAATTTAATTGGGAGAACGTCAAATTTTTAGAGAACTTAATTATAATAAACAAGGTATTTCTAACATAATTTTCAAAAAACGACAACAATATGGCTTAAATTTAATTTCGGACATTGAAGGACCAAACACTACTTATTATGGACAAGTTCTCTAGAACTTAAACTGTTCAAAATGTAATGTTTTCTTTGCTTATCATTTCTTGTTTAAATATATATTGTCGCAACCTTGTTTCATATCTGTATTACCCATCGACCAAGGAAGATCTTTATGGACGTAATTCAATCTTTACTGTTGCGTGGATTGATATCATTGGTATGTTTATTTTTTTATCATATTAGCCAGCTGCATTGTTCCATTTATAACTGTTATAGGTTTTTTGGGAACATCGAGCGTCGATCTATAGACCAATTAATCTAGACATCGCTAAATACCGTTGCTTGAGTAGAATTTGATTGGTCATAGCTGCAGTCATCGCTCTCACGTCTCTTAGTATTTGTAGAAGAATTTTTTATTATTGTATTATGCGCTGAAGATGGTCCGGAATGTGTCTGAAACGTTCGCAAGCTTTATTGTAATTTGTGTCAATTTTACAAATAATTGTTCTTGCCATTACACTGTCGGTATGCGACTCTTATTTGTTTATATTGATCTTTTATAGCGATCGATTGTATATAGTCCGAGTCTTTATATTTGTATGAGTAAATTAAAAGAATTTATTTTATTAATTATTTTATAATTATTATAAAAAATGGTTGATAACTAGCATATTTCATAATAATTATCAAATATTACCTTGCAATATCCAAATACATTTGTTAACTATTATAAAACTTTATCTTTTTTCAGCAAGAAAGATACATTGAGGAAGAAATACTTGAAAATTTATTTATAGAATATAAAGTTTATCTCTATAAGTAAATTTTATATCCCACACAGATATAAATGTTCAAATATTTGCGCACTCTTCGTAATGTGTAACAGCTCTTTCACTGTTTTCTTCCGAAGAAAGAGGGAGTACAAAGGAAAAAGAGTGTAGTGAGAGTGTAATTAGACATATGAAGAGTGTTTTTATTGTTGAGGACTCTTTCATTTTTGCCAAGGCAATTGTCTTAATTATACCGTTGCAGTCAAAAGCGAAGCTTCATTGAGAAATGAATACTTGAAAATTTATTTGTGAGATATAAAGTTTGTTTCTGAGAAACAAAGTTTATTATTATTTTGAAATAAAAATACTTCTGTAAAATAAACTTATATACCATACATTTTCAAGTATTTTGTTTCAGTGCGGCTTATTATGTGCTTCGCATTTTGACGTATGTCTCGACATTTTGCATTATATGTCCTCGACTGTATCACAAAATCCATCTTTCGCAGACGTCCGATCGTCGCCGGTAAACATCGTCGCGAGAGCTACGGTGATGACGGACGAGACTATGTTGGGCGGCGATGAGGAGGTCGAGAACGGCGAGGGCGAGGGCGAGGGCGAGGGTGAGGGCGAGAGTGAGGGCACCGAGAAGTCCATGAACGAGGAGGAAGAGGAGGCGGACGTGGACGTAGAGGAGTGTAGCAGCGTCGAAGACGGTTCGTTGCACAGGATGCTGGCCGACGACCTGGGTGGTAATGGGGCGTCGTCGCGGAAATGCACGGACGATGCCAGCGTGAGCGAGGATACGAAGGTGCGTCTGAGGACCAGCTGTAACTCCGACGAGCTGCGTGACGTCGAGTGCCACCTCGAGACCAAGGATCTCTGGAAAAAGTTCAACAGCCTCGGCACGGAGATGATCATCACGAAGACTGGCCGGTAAGTGACGCGTGTCGATCGGGCGACGCGAATGTGTTGAGGAAAGAGGGGGAAAAGTTGCGGAGTCGCGAGTCGCCAACATCACGCAAAGCGAACGGGAATCCTGGTGAGTGATCGCCGAAAAAGCTGTACCATTAAGCCTGATTTACAATGTGCTTCTTGCTTCCTGTTTCTTGTTCTGTATTTTTTCTGACTTAAAGCTTACGGTTTAAATCGGAAAAAGATAAAGACAAAAGAACAGGAAGTAAATTGTAAATCAGGTTTTATGAATACTTAGCGTTTTCCTTCATTTGCTATTTTTTTTCATTTTTATGTAGGAATTCTTACGACCTTCCTCAATGGACTATGCCATCCTGATTTCATCCAATTTAAGCTTTTTAAAACGTCCATGTATCGAGTTTGTAAATAGATTTTTAATAGACAAATTTTGTAAATAAACTTCTTTTAAATATATAGGAAATATATCAGAAGCATTTTTGGCGACTTGAAAGTTAAACTCATAGGATAAACTTACTTTTGGCGTTGTGCCAGCCAGTTTGGAAGCTTGAGTACTATAGAGATTGTATACTGATTGGCTGTGTCAACGAAGTCAGCAAGTTTACGCTATGATTTTGTGATCATCGTTGAAGTGAGCGTCGCAACCGACATTGCGATTAATAACAAGGAAGGTTTTAACACGTTAAGTGTCGAGTTCTTTCTGTTTACCTTTTAGTTTACGCACGATACCGTCAACATTTTATATTAAATGAATATATTATGATTCTATATGTCTACTTTTTTATGAAATTTCTTTTATTAATAACATTTTATCGAACTGTTGTCTGAAACCTATTGATCGTTACCTAAAAGTTTGTTCTTGATAACAAATATCGAGGTCAAAGTCATCAATGGAAATACGAGTATAATAAATATCAAAAAGTTGCTTAATTTTCGTATTGTATAATAATTATTCTGGTATACTTCTCTTTATTTCAAAGAAGCCTGCTTACAAAACTTGAGTTAAGTTGAAGGATGGATGTTTCTGGAAGTTTCATCGTTTCTTTTAGACTCTGCGGCAATTTGAGAGTGTCCATGTTGCGCGAAGTTCTTCAACCCCAAGATTGATCTTAATCTTATCTATGTTCATATGTTCAACGTTAGCTGTGAGAGAGCGATACACCTGCAAATTTATACATATCTCCGCGCATTTCTTTTTTCGATCGTTGCAAATGATTGCCAGTTGCCTCGGAGACACTGAGCTGTAAACTGGGAGAAGGACAGAAGGAGGGAGAGAGGGGGGTAGGCAAGAGAACCTGCCGATCGCGTCTCTTTTTACTTCGTGATCACGTTCTTATTCGGCTCTCCCGGTTTGACCGACCGCCAAGGTCGTTCCGCAATTATCTTTAAGACATCATAACGCGAATCCATATTACTTGTATACGTGCGCTCATTAGTCGCATTTAAAGGTCGCGATACTGATCGCGGAACACTGAAACGCGTCTTTAAAGGCTTTTTTATAATGTCGCAATATTGGTTGCGAAGTTTGTTGCAACGATAGTCACACAAACTTATAGCGGAAACTTACCTTTGGCTTTGTGCCAGTCAGTTTGAAAGCCTCAGTACTATAGAGATTGTACACTGATTGGCTGTGTCAACGAAATCAGCAAGTTTACCCTATGATTTTGCGATCATCGTTGAAGCAAGCCTCGCCACCGTTTGCGACTAATGTACAAGGAAGATCTTAACACATTAAGCGCCTATTCTGTTTACATTTTGGTTTACGATATCATCAACTTATTTATATTTTATATCGTCGGCCATCGATAACCGATACGACGCTTAAGCGGCGAACCTGATTTAGGATGTCGAAAAATGTATGATTTTTAGAAATTTTTTTCTCAGCTAGAATAAAACTAATTACTTTCAAATTTTAAGGATGTTTTATTACATATTTTATCTCTATAAAATAATTTTTTCATAAAAAAATATTAATTATTTGTTTAAAAAATGGAGCCAAATGAGTAGTGCCAAACTGCTGCAGTTGTTCCATTGTGTACACTGTAACGATTGTATTATAATTTTTATCTGAGACAAAAGAAACAATTATTTTTGTTAATTGTATGTAATTATCTTCTAGTTGAACCAAAAACTTTACAAGAAAAGCAAAAATGGATAACTTTCAACGACTTTGAAAGAAAAGTTACGATTTTTACCAAAAAGTTTCAACTTTGTGTTGCAAAAAATTAGTCTAATGTAACGTTCTTCAAAAACATTTAGGTTCACTTAGAAGAGGAACTAATCAGCTACAAAACGAGCCTAGAAACAGTTTAATCGGCACATTAGAGTTGTCTTTATCGTGTATACAAACTCAGAAAATATTGTTTTGAAAAAATTGCATTTAAAGTTTGCGGAACATAAAAGTACCATTTATAGCAGTCACAAGCTAATCTGCGATATCAGATTATAATAATCCTTCAGTTTCTTCATAGAACACACGTTCTGAACCGTTAATTCCATTCTACGCGTTTCGAGCTTCTTTTGAACTGCTTAAGCTGCGGCGCCGCTGCCCCTCAAGTCGCTGTTCGTCGTATGAGTGGAAAATTTTGAGCTTGCAACCCAATTCTAATATCTAATATATTCATCGTCTTCAATATACTGCTACATTTTTCATTAAAGATATATGCGGCAATAAAAGAAGCAATTTCGACAATTTTCATGCCTGCATTCAATGCTCGACGCATGATCTTCAAGCTGTAACTCGAAAAATACTTTGAATTTCAGCCTTGAATTTTAAAGGTATATTCTAAAATAATATTACTATCGACAACTTTTGAAAATTCTCGATTTTTCAGCCCTATAAACCAGGTTCCCCTCTTAATGCGTTAATCATACACAGAAAAAAAAATTTGCTGTTATTGAGAACCTTTCTAGTCTAGCAAATCTATAATCGTAATGTACAGATATTCAGTTTGCCAATAAATCGCAGAGCTGCATAAGATCATCTAATAAAGTTTGATGTTATAGTACGGCAGATTTGTTAGTGCAATAAAAATGATTCTGTATCACAACTAATGAAAAATATGGTTTGGTATATGCAACTAATCTGTTAGCTGTTATATTATGTTTGTTATGTTAAAGAATATTTTATACATTGACGGATTTCAATATAGTTAAATCATTAGTTACTCTAGCAATAAAAGTCAGCTAAGGCAAAAATGTTCATTGGAATGTCTCAAATATTTACTATATAACCACATTCAAATAGTATAATAAAATATTATAAATATAAATACATATATAAAGATACAATTATTAATATAAAAAGGCAAACTTAAATTACGTAACGCACTATAATATATTTTTCATTGTGGATATTTACATTTAAACTTAATGGAAGTGTACTTCTCCGTAAAATAAACAAAAATATTTCTTCATTATCTTTGAATAAATGATTTGTTTTATTGAATAATTTGTTATAGTAATATCAACAAAAATGGGTTTGCTCTATGAACAGGTTGACAACTGCTTTTACATTGTCTTTCCTATAACTAACAAATAAATATTTTTGCATTAACACATTTATTTAGTTATAACATTCAATTTTGCTCAGTAAGCCACAAAATCGAATCGACTAAACCATTTTCTTCCTTGTAGACTTATAGACACTGGGTTTCAAAACAGTTTAAACACTTTTTTGCGATGCAGCTTGGAACGTTGTCAATGCTCCAAGAGAATATAACTTCTGCACGAAGAGAGTATTGTAGTAAAAATTATCATAGTTTTTTCTAATGGAGGAATAGATTGGCATTCTGCAATAATTTATATTTCCTTTTATTTTATATATGTTACTTATATTTTAGAAACTGAATTATGCTATTGAAATACTTACTATGTTTCTAGTGAAATCTACTATGTTTCTTAGCAAAATAACCTTACTGATAGTCTTTTTTTAGGACTACTAAAACATAGTAAAATTGAAAAGAATGTATATGGAAAGAACTATAATATTCTTTTTCCATGTATGAATTAATAGAAAACGAGTTCTCTAATTGGATCATCAGCTATGTTCCAAAATACGTTAAAAAAAATTGTTCCAACTGTTTTGAAACAGCTTATCTAAACTGAATTTTCCACGAAAGGCTGCGAAGACTACGTTTGAAAAAGATGGTCTGTACCATAAATATTCGATCTTTATTTAGCTTGACTTCTATTGGAGAAAGCTGGCGAGAAGTGAAGTATGCTGGAGAGTGACGTGTAAATGTTTTGCTGTTGACGATGCCTGTGGATAGTAGAAGGAGAATTGTCTTCTACATTTTGTCTGCAAACCTTTTATATAGGAAGGTGCAGTTTATATATGCATGTGAGGCTATAGTCTTAATTTGCGAGCGATAAACGATGTTGCTGTCTTGAATTCGACGACGACGTTGCCGAAGATATAATGGAACTAATAAATGCCATTGACTAACATTTTACGAGATATTTTTGCGGGAATTTCGGGCGTGTAATTCGTCGCGCGTTCGTTTACTCGTGGACACGCGCATTTTTATAGCTATGCTAATAAAGTATGGGCAGTTCAAGCAGCTGCGACCGACCGGGACCATGCGTGACCGCGTCGGAATTATGAAATATTCGTGCATACAGAGGGGAAGTTCGGCGTGAGAGAAAAAGAGGGGTGATGAGAGAGAGGTTAGAGAGAGAAAATCGCTATCATCTATTCCTGAGAACGCGTATGCGCACATACAGTCTTGAAATGCGCATTCTAGCGACGCATTATATTGTCCGAAGTTTGTGTGATCACGACTGAAATCTTCGTTTCGTTGGAAACTCGCGGAGAGATGCTGTGATCACGATAAGTTTCTCGCTTAATTTCGAAACGCCTTAAAATATAGGAATTATAGGATGAATAGATAGATACATACAAAAAAATATTATTCTACCACTAAGATAAACTTACAATCAGTTTATATTCCTTCTTTTAAATAGTGGTTATTTTTAACAAAGAATATTTTTTTGATAATAAT